GTGAAACAGTTTTGACTTTACGGGCTCCATGAAAGATCTTGGGGACTCTGGAGATGTCTCGTTAATAACTGCGGACTTAAGATCATCCTGATACAGATGTGGGGAGGCCTCATGCCACCTTCTGCTTTTTTGAAAAGTTTAAAGAAAAGGCATTTCAAATTTATGCTACATTTTTTAAAAAGCGAGATAATCTTATCTGAAACCCATGGCCTTACAACAGTTTTTAAAAACTTATTTATTTTTAGCCAAAATTACAAGTTTAAAAGTTGCTATTTCAACTTTTCTAGACTGGCATTTAGTAATTGTCTTTTTGTGTGTGTGTGTCTAAATGCCTAACATTTGTAAGAGCCCTAACAACCAAATCACAGGAAACTAAATTCATCCCTCTTCCTTAGTGAAGAGTAACTGTTTTATCTCACAAAATTGATTGTCCAGAAACAAGTCTTATATCATGTCTTAAAGCATTCTATATGTAGTAATAACAACTGTATAAACCAGTCCAACTCCTGTTTTAGTTGTTAGTATTTCTTCCCTGAACTCAGACGAAAGGATGCTTTATTTTAAAAGGTTTATTTAAGTGTAATTGTTTTCATCTATCTCATTTTTAAAGAAGACTTTTTATGCAATCAAAGATGATCATCTGAGTCCTGGGTTATTTTAAGAGCTGATTTCCTAAAATGTTTATGCGATATATTTGTTAAGTCCAAGTATTTTTTCTAATTATAGTACAGGTAGCAATTAAAAGTAATGAAAATGATCTTAATAACTTATCTAATGGGCCATGGTTAAAATTCAGTTTTTAGACTGTAGCTTATGTGTCATTTATAGAGTGATTCTTAAGAACAGGTGATGTTGCAGATGAAAAGCAAAACGTTATGGGTTAGAAGCCAGAGGAAATTTTTATGAAAAACAAACTGAGGTCATTAGGTACTCAATAGGGATGAAAAGTTTAAGCTAACAAACAAGAGCTTTGGAGGAGATAAACATTGAACACTGAGTATCAAGAAAGGGGAGTTTACATTTACAGAAAAGTAGAGAATAGTATAACAAACAACTATATGCCACTTACATTTAATAATTATTCATCTTTTATTTTATTTGTTTTGTCTTTTTTTTGTGAAGATACTTTAAACTAAAAGACATCATGACATTTTACTTCTAAATAAGGTCATGTTGTTATGAGAATGTCCAAAGTGATGGAAGAGTTTATCTGAGCCAAACGGAGGACATGCCTAGAAGTAAGATCTCAAGAGATTGAGAAAATGCTCCCAAGAATGACAGTTTTGCAGTTCTTTTTATGTATTTGGAATCAAAGGAGGGAATTTAAGGAGATCACATAAAATCTGTTGGTGGTAGGTAAAGGAGATGGGAGAAAGCAAGTTCGAGAAATCTCCCAGGTTGGATAAAAAATGGAGGGATATATACTCCCTTTACATTGGTGGGTACAGGATAGTTAACATTTTAACAGTTACAGTAAGTAGATGGTGTTCAGGCACCAAGATCGTGTGCTCCCTTGAGGGTGGCTATACCTTTGAGGAGTCTGGAAAAGAGAATTACTCTGGCATTTCAAAGATGTGTTAACCTAAATGCACAAGTAGGATGGACAAGGCTTCAGGCAAAGATAAACCTTTTACTAAGGAAGTTATAGGCCTGGTGCTTATCTACTTACCATGACCTGCCCAAAAAGAAATTTATGATCAGCTCACCTTGGGAGGTTACTCTCAGTCACTGTGTTTGTCAGATCTATGACATAATCCCTTTTTTGTTTATAATAATTTGCAGCTCTAAAAGAAAAAACTTACAAGTATACATTTTACTGTGATGTGTTAATCTGAAGACAACTAGGGACATGGCCGAGGGTCTTTGTTTTGCAAACTGAGGTGTGCAAGCTATAAGCTCCTGCAAAATAGGTTGGGATGATGAAAGGGATTTTATAAAATTGTTTAGAGGACTTAGAGGAGGAAGAACAGTGAGCGAAGGACAAGAACTTGGGGAGGGAGACAGAGATATTAAATGGGCACATTTGATTAAGCTTTGCTATTTGGTATGTGATTTAACCATTTTCTCTCCCTACAATATCTTAATTTAAACTTGCATTATTCATTTATGCTTTATAAATTGGAATATTTTTTTCAACTTGTCCCTGACCTTGGGGTGTGTAGAGTGGAAACGGAGCCTACATAAATGTGTCCATTGGAGCTGCACGGCTAACATTGAATGTATCTAGGAATTCATACTTGGAAGAGTTTCAGCCAGTTGGTGACAGAATGCCCTATTGGAATTATTCCCCCGCCCCCCTGTTTTTGCATTGAAGTAATATATGTAATTAATCTATGCAATGTCTTCTTATGTTTAGGTCTCGGATGTGGCTTATTATACACTGCAACAGTGACCATTACGTGCCAGTATTTTGACAGCCGCCGAGGCCTTGCACTTGGCCTGATTTCAACAGGTACATTTTCAAAATCAGTACAGTATTGCCCCTATTCAGCCTTCTAATCAAAGTTAAAAGTTGGCAAACAGATATGTGTAACTACTCCCAGCTATCACTCAGGTAGCACCTTTTTTTTTGTTCTATTCCTACAAGGAAATTTTTATTTTCCACTGTAAATGTGGCATAGCGTTCAGAAAAGCCTAAGATAGACATATGAAAAACCGTTTATTTCAAAGGTGTGTTAACCTAGAGGCACTGCAACACTGGACAGGGCTTGCTTCAGGCAAAAATAAATCTTTTACTAAACAGTTATAGGCCTAGGGAATGACAACCCAGCCCAGTTAGGAATTTATGATGGATGAGATCACCCTGTGAGCTTACTTTCCATAGAACCCTTTTTCTTTGTCCACAAATATCATATCGGAAAGAAAGCTTATGGGCCCAGTAAATTGAGAGTCACGTGCTGGTGAGAACCTTGCTGAAGGAAGTGGACAGCATGTATATAAAGCACCTTATCCCTGAGAAAGACAGGAGAAAAGGAAGGGAAATGGCAACACCGTCAGAAAGACAGATGCTGATAGCTCTCGCCCTCCATTTATTGTGAAACCTACAATTCCCACACACAAAAAAGTGGGAAAGACTGATTTATGAATATAGCTCACTGACCTATGTGCGCAGCCAAAGACAGGCTATTTACTCTTGCTGTTCCTTTAATAATCAAGAGATGATCACTGCGGGGGTGGAGAATATAAACATAAAAGTTTCTGGCCTCTGATATTTTAAAGTGGTGCTTTATTTTTCAGTTGGATTTTTTTTCCTAGGCTGTTTAGGGAATTTATCAAAGTTTCTGTAGCCAAATGTCTTATGAGTTTGGTTAGGAGATAAAGCTGCCAAGTTTACTAAAAGCTGTACGTTACGTACGCTCCTTGTTAGTGAGTGCGTGTTCTTGGGAAGCCAGGCTTTCAGATACGCTGAAGAACTTTAGTAGTAGATCTGACCACAGGATCCAAATTAGTGTTTTGTTCCTGAGGCCAACCCAGGGGCAGCAAAGTGATTCCAGATGGAATTATATCTAGCTGGATATTTACTCAAGGTGGTTTAAAGAAGCATTGGCAGGTGAGAAATGGGAATCATAGTGTAGGGGGGAGACATGGCCAGAATCAGAGGACATGGCTAAGATAGAAATGGGAACAGAAATAGAAAAAACAAGATGGAGAATCCAGAACGGTTGAAATGCAGTTTCAAGAACCCGACAGGATCTCCCAAAAGTGTGGGGAGTGTGATAATAGGCATGGCAGCTTAAAGGACAATAGGTCTTACCTATCTTATATATTTTTTGTAGAGGCACTATAATGATGCAACAGGCACAAGCCCTGGAGTCAGACCTGGTGTTGAATCCTGCCTGTATCACATCCCCTAGCTCTCTGTTGATGGACAAGTTAGTTAATGGTTCTGTTAACTATTAAGCCTCAGTTTTCTGAACTGTAAAGTGGGAATAAAAGAGTCCCATCAGGTTATTGGGAATATTAAAAGAGTTATTGTGTAAGACACATGGCAAGGGCTCTATAAGTATTAGCCATTATAATTATGACCTAGATTTCCCTGAATCTCCAAATTTATTTGTGCTGAAGATGTTGAAAATTGTTTATTGAGAGAGCTGCTCCTGCTTTTCACTCAGTCTAGGGAGGAGGGCATAAGGACTTGAGCCAGAAATGGAACTACTATGGACAGTCAAGACTTGGCAGAATTAAGGAGTTTACAGTGTCAGCTCACAGGGAGCTAGGTGAGGCAAAATTAGGGAGAAGCATGAATCTACTGTCTTAGTCTGTTCAAGTTTCTATAAGAAAGTACCATAGAGTGGACGGCTTATAAACAATAGAAATGTATTTTTTATAGTTCTGGAGGCTGGGAAATCCAAGAACAAGGCACCAGAAAATTCAGTGTTTGGTGAGGGTCCATCTTCTGGTTCACAGAGGTCATCATTTCATTATGTCCTCAGATGGCCGAAGGGGAGAGGGAGCTCTTGGGGTCTCTTTTATAAGGGCACTAACCCCATTCATGAGGGCCTCGCCATCATGACCTAATCACCTCCCATAGGTCCCACCTCCTAATATCATCACCTGGGGGGCTAGGTTTCAGCATATGAATTTTGGGGAACACAGACACTCAGTCTATAGCATCCACCTTCAGTGAAAGAGATGACAAGCAAAATATAACTCACAGTAGAACATTTTTAAATTGAACAGAAGTTAATAGTGAAAATCCTTGCAATATGGGACCTAGTTGAAAGGAGCCTAGGCATTAAATGAAGGTTTTGGGAACTCGGGCTTGCTCCGTGGTGAACAGGGGTTGGTAAACTAATGCCCATGGCCCAAGTCTGGTGTACTGCCTGTATTTGGACAGCTCACAAGCTAAGAATGATTTTTTCTTTTTAGTGTAGATTTTAAAAATCATAAGAAGATATTTTTATGGCAGGGGAAAATGATGTGAAATTCAAATTTCAGTGCTCATAAATAAAGTTGTATTGGAGCACAACCATGCTCATTCCTTTACAAACCTTCTCTGGCCCCTTTCTTGCTTCAGGGGCAGAGTGGAGCATTTACGACAGAGATTGTATGGCCCTCTATGGCTTAAACATGTATTCTCTGGACCTTTATAGAAAAAGATTATTGGTCCCTGGTGTTAAAAGTTAATCAAAGCATGAGTGTCTCTCTTACTGTTTCAGTATCTGAACATCAATTACTATTTTCCCTCTTTGTGATAATATATAACTTAGACATGCATGGAAGCATAATTCATCCTTTATTTCACTTCACCATTTACACTGAGGATTTTTAAATTAGGGTTTTCTTTTTGAAAATTAAAAATTATAGCCCTAGCCGGTTTGGCTCAGTGGATAGAGCGTTGGCCTGCAGACTAAAGGGTCGCAGGTTCGATTCTGGCCAAGGGCATATGCCTGGGTTGCAGGCTTGATCCCCAGTAGGGGACATACAGGAGGCAGCCTATCAATGATTCTCTCTCATCATTGATGTTTCTATCTATCTCTCTCTTTTCCTTCATCTCTAAAATCAATAAAAGTATATATTTTAAAAAAATTAAAAATTATAGTTTTCAGTTTACACAGTTCCACAAGAAAGCTCTGAATTACACCTTATTGCCCTGAAAGGATTCCTGCATCTTTCTAAGCTTTGGCTGCATTCTTGTGAGATGTAGGTTGGGGAAACTACTGTCTAGTGTGTAATTTGATTGTGCTGTCCTATCATATACTTAGCACATCATATGTATTCTATATATTTTGGTTGAATTAATTTAAATGTCTTTCTTATATTTCATGATGTTGAGGGCTAAACTTAGTTGGTGAGCAATGGAGAAGTTGCTTATTTTTTCAATTTAAGCTCAAAATATAGAACTTGCAGAATGCCAAGAGTATTTGTAGGTATCTAATGTTAGGGCACTTTGTTAGGATCTATACAGAGATATGGTATTAGGCAAAAATGTGAATTAACAGTGAATGGAGGTTACTGCAGTACAGAAGTACATGAAATAGTGCTATTTTCTATTCTTTCGGTTTGTTTTCTGAAGTGCTTTTAACTTTGGGAGTATGTGTCACTTTTAAAAAGATAAGGGAAAGATTAAATTTGTCTACTTATTATTTTTCAATAGTCAGCAAAGAAGATACTATCTTACTACCCACAAAATGATATTATTGTAGCTGCCATTACATCAATATGAGCTACTAACATTTTAATGCAAAGAATTTTTAGGGAGGGTATTAAAAAGTTAACTTCTAAAATGTTAGAGAGGGACAACTATGGTCCCAAAGAAAATGCTTCTTTACAAGAGGGTCATTTGGTTATTTATAAGAATTTTTGATAAGATGGGTTTTTGCTGCAAGCATGGCATCCTGTTGGGGTTACGAAGTAATTTGGTATAGATCCACCTATTTACCCATTTTTAAACAGTTCTGTTTATTACTCTCCTGCTTTTTTAGGTGACACTTTTCAATGATGCTTAAATTTTAAAATACTCAATTTTTTAAAAAGTTGAAATCAGAACACCGCTAATTAATTCGGCTGTTGTAACATGAGGTTCCAGTATGTTTAGTGTGATCTATGCTTTAAAAAAGAACACCCAGAAAATCCAGGAAAATTTACTAGGCATACTTTGTGATTTCAATACCCTATCAAATTCCACTTTACTCTTTTCATGGTTTAGTAATGTGAATCATTATATTCTGGTGATTTAGCAGTGGATTTGAACTATCACACCATGACAAATATCCCATAAAAATTAAAATACATTCTTCAGCTCAAAAAATAAAATTTGAATATTTACTTGTTAAAAGGGAATAAATATATAGCACAGAGCCTGGCACATAATAAGTGCAAAAAAAGTAGTTGCTTAAGGTATTTGGTACGAATATGGGCTCCAGGAGTCAGAATGATTGAGTGTGCCTCCTACTTATGCCATTTACAGCTCGGTGACCTGCGGCAAATTTCTCAACCTTTCTAGCCCTCAGTCACCTCAGGTACAGGTTGGGAATAATAATAGGACCTACACAATGTGATTATTATCAGGATTAAACAAGATCATGCAATGTGCAGTGTTGAACACTGTCTGAACTACAAATGCAATTTCTTAAAATAAATATTCTGTCAGTATTACTATTATTGTTGCTATCATTACCTTTCATATCCTTGCTGTGATTTTCCATATGATGGCACGCCCGAGTGCCAGTGGAAAAAAAAATGGCACTGCGGTACCGATAACACTTGTCCCGAGAGCCCCACGTTATAAGAGATTAAGATTGAACAGTTCCGTTTCCTTTTCAGGTTCAAGTGTTGGACTTTTTATATATGCTGCTCTGCAGAAGCTGCTGATTGAGTTCTATGGACTGGACGGGTGCCTGCTGATTGTGGGTGCTTTAGCTTTAAATATATTACCCTGCGGCAGTCTGATGAGACCCCTCCGGTCCTCCGATTGCCCTTTGCCTGAGAAAACAGCTCTGGAAAATGTACCAGACAGATACTCCATTTACAACGAAAAAGAAAAGAACCTAGAAGAAAGCATAAACATCCTTGAAAAGAGCTACGGAGGCGAGGAGACCTGCAGGAGCACGCTGGCCAATGGCGACCTGAAGCAGGACAGTCTCCTTCATCAGAACCCAGCAACCACGGCACACACAAAAGAGACGGAAACCTACAAAAAGAAAGTGGCAGAACAGACATATTTTTGCAAACAGCTTGCCAAGCGGAAGTGGCAGTTATATAAAAACTACTGTGGAGAAACTGTGGCTCTTTTTAAAAACAAAGTGTTTTCGGCACTCTTCATCGCTATCTTTCTTTTCGACGTCGGAGGGTTTCCACCTTCATTACTTATGGAAGATGTAGCAAGGAGTTCAAATGTGAAAGAAGAAGAGTTTATCGTGCCTCTTATTTCCATTATTGGCATTATGACAGCAGTTGGCAAACTCCTGTTAGGGATACTGGCTGACTTCAAGTGGATTAATACCTTATATCTTTACATAGCTACCTTAATACTCATGGGCCTGGCCTTGTGTGCAATTCCATTTGCCAAAAGTTATGTCATGTTGGCCATACTTTCTGGGATCCTAGGGTTTCTTACTGGTAATTGGTCCATCTTCCCGTATGTGACCACAAAGACTGTGGGGATTGAGAAATTAGCCCACGCCTATGGGATATTAATGTTCTTTGCTGGACTTGGAAATAGCCTTGGACCACCAATTGTTGGTAAGATATTTATCTTAAAGTCACCCATTTTCCTGTTCTCCTTTGTGACTTCCCAGGATATAGAATTTTGGATTGTAATAATAGCACAGATTTGCCCAAAAAAATCTGCATGGGAAGTGTCATGATAATGATTTATTCAAAATCACTCTGCTGCCCCAGCCGGTTTGGTTCAGTGGATAGAGCATCGGCCTGCGGAATGGAGGGTCCCGGGTTCGATTCCCATCAAGGGCACGTACCTCCATTGCAGGCTCAATCCCTGGTACAGTGCTTGTGGGAGGCAACCAATCGATGTGTTTCTCTCACACCGATATCTCTCCTTTCCACTCGCTCTAAAAAACAATGGAAAAATATCTTCCGACGAGGATTAACCACAAAAAAAAAATCACTTTGCTATAGTTGCAAAGCCAATGTTCTTGCTCAGGGATTTGTGTTTATTCTTTATTTGGGAGGAAACCAAAATGCCTGTTTATTCTTGTCCAAATTTTGAGAAATTCTCCTTTTCTAATTCCCAGCAGGCCATCTACTTTGAGAGTAGGTGGAATATATATTCTAATACTAACTGTGTAAAATTGATGAAGTTAGAGTATGGGTTTCATATTCATACTATTTATATCAAACTCACTTTTTTCTTCCTCTCTCTCCAGGTTGGTTTTATGACTGGACCCAGACCTATGACATTGCATTTTTTTTCAGTGGCTTCTGCGTCCTGCTGGGAGGATTTATTCTGCTGCTGGCATCCTTGTCCCCCTGGGAGACACGCAAAAAGCAACTCCCCAAGCCAGCTCCAGCAGCCTTTGTGTACAAAGTTGCCTCTAATGTTTAGAGCAATATTGGAAGGAAGTATGAGACTGTTTTTTCAGAGAAAAATTACACGGTGGCTGATGCTGACTGATTTTTTTAAACATATCCTATTCTCTATGCAGTCTCTATCTCCTGAATTTTTTCCCCCCTCATTTCTCTTTTCTCAAGAAGCGGGACTATTCTGTATTGCTATGATTCACGAGTTCTTGACATTGTAAAAATTTTGGCCGGCCTCAGAGGACTTTCTGTGTGTAGAGAAATAATTTCTCTGCAGACTCCATTCGTTCCATTGCAAGGCACCCAGAAGGGGCTCTTCTGTTTTAGACCTGCAGGCGGCATGATGAGATATGTGTGCTTGCCGCTATGGACTCTTCTCTACATTAGATGAGCTAGTGAATAGAAGACTTTGAGCCAGTCAAGAAATGAAAGTAGTTACTAAGACAGGATTAAGTATTGCAGTGGAGCAAGCTGATCATTTTTTTTTTTAAAAAAAGACATTATAAATTACAGTCACCGGTTCTAATCATTCTGTTCTATTTACCTTGATGAAGCACCCATCAAGCATAAGGTGTTTGCTGAGATGCAGGCGATCTCCAAACGGAGGAGTAGTCACTATAGCCTTTCTTCACGGTTGGCCGCTATAACCTCTCTTACTTTTGTCTGTCAGCATCCATTCAGCTGATGTTTCCCAGGAAGTGCTGATTTTACCTATTTCCAAATTGGAAATGCATATTTAAACCATTCCGTTCTGGCAAATGGGAAACATCCATTTGCTTCGGGCACAGTGAGGACGAATTGCAAGTCCTTGCATATCTTCTCGGTTTATTTGCTATTATCAGATTTTACCACTATCACATTTAATTCAAGGGCAGAACTAAAAAGTGTGTTTGTGTGTGTGAGTGTGTGAGTGTGTGAATGTGTGTGTGTGTGTGTGTGTGTGTGTGTGTGTGTGATGTTCTAAGTCTGTGTGGGACATGGGAAGGGGAAAAGGCAATAAGAAGTTGATACCCTGATTCAACTTCATTCATTCTTAAGAAAAATGTTCTGGAAGAAAATAAATGTTTAATGCATTGACATTTTTCTAAATAAATGTTTTTAAAACTTTTGTATGCATCCAATTCTTCTACAGGTCCTTTCAAAAAAAATACCACTCTGAGAGATTTTAATTCTGTAGGTCTAGGCTGTGGGCCAAGGATCTATATCTTTAATGTGATTCTGATAACACAGCCGGGGTTGAGAATGACTGTTGTAAAACTGGCAACACAGAAACATTTATTCTCTCAACTAAAACAAACAAACAAACAAACAAACAAGAAACCATTGAGGTGATGAGTTTTTATAAATAGCCAAGTGTGATTCTTTAAATAGGAGGCACTCTTCCCATTGTGCCAAATTTGTTTTTGTTTTTTTCATTTCTTTTGAAATACATATGTAAGATTATTTCATACTTCTATGTTGCCTTTCTTCTAAGGCACCTGAAGCACTTTATAAGCATGAATCCCCACAACACCTCATTGAGGTGGGTAAATAGTGCTTTTCTATGCAGTAAACCTGGGGTATGGGGAGTTTCAT